AAACGAGATATCGTAATCGAAAAGCAATAGAATAAGAAGTGGTTACTCTTTTAGTTATTTGATTATGTTATTATAGCCAATCTCATTGGGCAATATTTTTTTTTGCCCTTGTAGGTAGAAGAGCGCATGGCCAACCTGATGGTGAGTGGTTACCATCGCCCATGGACTTCAGTAATGCCAGGGGCAGAGCCAAGCCGCTGCCTACCGCTTAATACTCTCCACAAGCCTTGTTTGAAGAAGGACATGTCATAGCGCTCGGGAAATCCCGTGGAGGGGAGCTCATTCCAAAGCCGGATGGTACGTGGATATTTTATACATACTCAGTGGCGTAGCGAACTCGCACCCAGGACATAATACCTTTTTAGCGTATATGACCATCTAGAATTAGTACAAAAGATACCAATTATTTATTTTAAATATTTCAATATTATAAAACAATTAAAAGCTTCATTTAGACTGTTAGTACTCCCTTTTTATTTACGAATTAACATTTAATTTATTACACTACATAGTACTAAATTTAAAATATATTTTCCAGAAATCAATTATAATAAAAAAAAATATTATCCAGCAATTTTTTGCTTTGCGGACCATTTGGCGCCCCTTTGTGCGTATGCCCGGGGCATGATGACTCCCATGCCCCCCTTTCGTTACGCCACTGTACATACTACTTTTTCTTTTAATAAGAAGTAAGAAAATTATCACAAACTATATTACCAGTCCTACTGGTGTATACTTACAAATACTATAACATAAATATCTAATTGAAAATCTTCTTATAAACTATCCGCATTTATAATAGGCTAGATAATTTCGAGCCTTCATTAAAATCGAATCATCTTTTAAACCAATAAATCAACTGTAATAATCGAGAAACATATTCGTTAAAATGGAATTTAATATGCTTATTTACATATTTAACTGCGTACAGTCACGAAATAAACGATGCTTTGATGGAAAACAATAATTATACGATCGCCTTGAACTACTAATGTGATTTGGTATCGCATTTTTCGATGATATTTACTCTTATCACGAAGGCATAAAGTGCAAATTCCAGTCTTGACATTTGACCTGAATTTATACATCCTCAAAGACAAATCTTTAAAAATAATCGATCACCTTAAAAATCGAAATAAAATTGCAAATGTTCGATTTATTCTAATACTAAATTAAAAATTGTGATTGTTATATATAACATATGTTATAGATAGACGATTTTAAATTAGGTGGAATTTTCTGGATTTTTTAACTTATCTCAGTGTAAAATATCGATTTATTTTCTCATTACATCCCTAGCCTTTGGTGACAGATGCATCTGAGTACATTCCGAGACCGACCACCGGTAAGGTTTATCGATTTATCGATAAATTGTATTTTAATAACTTGTACAGCCTTAAGAATGGGATCAGAGCTGGCAAGAAGCAAAAGATTAATATTTTGCTTCGTTAATAATTGAACACAATTTGTTGTCAGTTATTAGCCGTTGTTAGCAGAATGTTTTGGGCACATTCTTCCCTTGTATCAATCAGTCTAGCTCGTAACCTAAATTATAGCAATAAGCTGAATGCCTGACAAGTACATGTACTTGCTATTAAATTACAACTACATACATATATGAACTCGGTAAAACTAAGCCAACATTTCATTAAAAATGTCTTGTGTATTTCTGCCCAAAGTAATTCGCAGAACCTACGATAATTCAATTTTTTTGAGGTCAATATCTCACGTCTCAAGGTAGATCGTGAAAGTTTCCATATGGATCTCGGTTTCCATATGGATGGTTAGAGACATATTATCATGATATGCGACTTTAAAATCTCTTGTTTTGTTAACTTCGAAAGCAGATAAGCACGCGTGTTGCTTGCGAGTGATAATGGAAGACAGTAGCGTTTTTTTGCCCTTGCAGGCATACAAACGTACGGCCCACCTGATGGTGAGTGGTTACCGTCGTCCATGGGCTTCAACAATGCCAGGGGCAGAGCCAAGCCGCTGCCTACAAACTTATGAGTGTACTCCACTTCATTTCAGAGTGTACTATTCCAAATACTCGGCTAAAATTTACATTAATTCTGGTTTCAAGCAGACGGTGCTTAGAAACAGAACCTAGATCGTACTTCTACAAATTATCGACATGAAGAGCACGATATTTCTAGTAAAATTCCCAAGAAACGTAAATCAGTTACTAGATTATATTATGATATTATGCTATTGTTCACGATTGACTTCCACGGTGAAGGAATAACATCGTGTAATAAAAGTCAAACCCGCAAAATTGTAATTTGCGTAATTACTGGTGGTAGGACCTCTTGTGAGTCCGCACGGGTAGGTACCACCGTCCCGCCTATTTTCAGCCGTGAAGCAGTAATGCGTTTCGGTTTGAAGGGTGGGGCAGCCGTTGTAACTATACTGAGACCTTACAACTCATATCTCGAGGTGTGTGGCGCATTTACGTTGTAGATGTCTATGAGTTCCAGTAACCTCTTTACACCAGGTGAGCTGTGAGCTCGTCCACAGATCTAGGCAACAAAAAAAAAAAAAAGATTCGAAATAAAAACCCGAAAAGAAATGGTATTGCAATTTTACAAATTGTCAGAGTTATACATAATATTATGAATAGTAATATGAATAATTCAGTTCGTCTAGACGTTCTTCAGGAGTAAAACAAAACTGTGAAATGCTTGGTAATGTTTTAAGCTAATAAGATTCTAAGCTAGCAAGCTCAGTTTCAGTGGAGCTTTTAACTAAATTACTTTTCGAATGTTTTCATGAATTTTAAAATTAAAGTGATCGTTGAAATTGAGTGATTATTGAAATTGTTTTAGTAATGGATGAATATATATCGACGCTTGAAAGGCAAACGTAACTAAGCGACAATGCGTGAACTTTACAGTAGACTAATTTAAAGTTGAAACTAATTTGAAATATACATGAGAAACACCTAAAAAAAAATCTATTTTAACGAATCTAGCTGTAGGATTGAAATGATTTTAATAGACCTAGAATATATTTTTTTGCGCATCGAATATGGTTATTGTCTATCATTTATGTACAAAGCAGTTATTGTCGCTTAGTCACGTTTGCCTTTCAAGCGTCGATATATTGAGATTCATTCAGAGTTTGACGACAATCATTTTACTAATTATAAAAATTGTTTATCCCTTTCAATGCTGAGCTTATTTTGACATATATTGCAGAAATTGCTAAAGGAGTTTTGAAAAAAAGCACCTCATAAAAAACTTTAACATAAAAAAAATCAATAAATATTAAATTACAGCAACATAATTTTACTTAATGTATATTTTATTAACTTATTACAGCGTTATACGTGCGGCCGTCAAGACACCTCCGTACAGATCGTTACCTAAGACCTATAATCAATATGCGCAATAGTCGGTATTCCGACGCACTGTATAGAGAGTCGATCTATCGATGTTTTGCTCTCAAAGGGTTAAAAACACTAGATCGGTTTATATTTATATGGTTCTATTATCTATAAGATAAATAGTAACCGCACCTGATTTTCTAACTTTTTTTTTATTGCCCTTGTAGACAGACGAGCATACCACCTGATGGTGAGTGGTTACCGTCACCCATGAACTTCAGTAATGCCAGGGGCAGAGCCATGCCGCTGCCTACCGCTAAAGCCGCTGCCTACCGCTCCAAGCCGCTGCCTACCGCTAAATCTAAAATAACTAACCAATCTAAATAACTAATCTAAAGACATTTTAGGGTGCATGAGTGAAAGATGCAAACGGACTCCTCGATGCTCAAAAAAACAAATAATAAAAAAGGAGTTAGATGCCGGGGCAGGTAAATACTATCCATTGTTTCATGAAAGACTTCAGCCATGAATAAACTTTTTTTTTTATTCGTGATGTTTATTTGCAATAAAATATCGCACAAAAAAAAACTTCGTATCTATTTCCTCATAGCTCTGCGGCGAACGGTCACCTGCCGTGTCGGTCCGATGTTTGCCAATATTTCGGTACACGGCCACAGATTGCATTATTGGATATTTTAATCGAATACATTTAATTTTAAATATTGATGCTGAATCGAACAGTAATACAATTATGGATCGTAATTTTTAACAGGCTTTTATTATCTTGGTTTGTTTGTATGTTTGTTAGTTCGTAGAGAACTTTGAACGTAATTTACAAAGACTTCACAAGACGTCCGATTAGCTTGAAAAATTGTCACACATTAAGCACCGATGACAGTAGATTAATTTTGTAACTTCGCCCTGACAAACCGACCAGAATCAACAGGATAAAAAGATGAGACTAACTCTTAGTTTGGTTTGGTTTGGTATTTTAGTGTATTTTTTTCAATTGCTTAACTATATTATTTAGAAATATGTTTGTTGTTTGGTATTGATAAAATAAAACAATTGTTGTCATCACGTAGATAAGACTTCAGAATGAAAAAAAAGTTCACATAATTCTGATGTTTCATTAATAAAGCAGAGTCATCGTCGCACTATCATACGATCTCAGACGATATCGAGAAAGCCTCAATCTTACTGTGGAGAATTATATTGGAGCTCATACCACTTGGACAACATCACCTATAATTGCGTGCATTTCCCGGTGAAAATATAATTTTACATACTTTTTTATTTTTATTTGTGCGTCGGGTGTATGATTTTTTAGTCTTCCTGGTGTTACATGATTTCCGAAGAATATTAACAATGTAAATGCCGTCACCCAACTCGAGATATCAGGTCTTAATGTCAGCTCTAACTACACTTGTAACTATACTTGAGACCTTAGAACTTATATCTTAAGGTGAGTGGCGCATTTACTTCGTAGATGTCTATGGGCTCCAGTAACCACTTAACACCAGGTGGGTTATAAGCTCGTCCACCCATCTAAGCAATAAATAAAAAAGCTCTGCAACAGCATTCTTCTAATCGGGAACTGCCCTGCGATAAAAGCGACAGAAATAGGGACAAGTCGTCCTAACACGAGTAGAACTGGTTATATCAAGAGCCTTACCTTTCAACAGGAGCACGTAGTTTTTCTTGTCGTCTCCACCCTTGGGGTATTCCCAGTCGATGTCGAGCCCGTCAAAGTTCCTGTCCCTCAAGTAAGGAATCGCGGAGTAGATGAACGTCTGCCGGGCGTATCTGGTAGCCACCATGTCCTTGAACTTCTGAGTTCCGAAAGACCAACCGCCTGTTGAAGAACAGAAGGTTACAGGAAAGAGAAAACTTTACGTAGAGTACAAGAATAAGGTTACCATAATAGTACCATATTAGCTGCGTAACGATTTTTTTAAAAAATAATTTTCAGCCACCTCAATGCTTTTGAATGGCTTAAATGAATTTAGACTCGTACCAAGGACCGAGTGATCGATCGTATTAAAGTATTTTCAGCTTTGTATTCGATCTGCTAAAGGAAAAGACATCCAGTACTGCTACTGACATAAACTCATGTTTTGTATGTACTATTGAACGTTTCAATCTCGTGTTTCTGATTTTCTTGAAAAACTACATCCGCCATTTTCATTTTTCGTGGAAGGTTAATTTTTGTTTCAACATATGCTTGTAGAAACGGTAGGATGAAAATGTCTTTTTTTAAAGCTTAGATACAAGGAAATAATAAACATTATCGTAATAAAAAATTCCACCTATTAAGTTTTGTTAACTTTCTTTTTCTTATTATTTATTACATTTCATGTAAATATTTATCTATATTGGCGGACTTAATGTCTAAGGCATTCTCTACCAGTCCACCAAAGGTAGTGAGTGCACTTTGGAATGAACATGTTAGAAGAGAAATTTAATAATTTGGGTGATTATCAGCTGCGGTATGTACTACTATAAGCCCTCATGAGTGGGTACCACCACCCTTCCTATTTCTGCCGCGCTCATAAACTTCAGTAAGCAGTCACGAAATTTTAACCCGTTGACACAGCCCATTGAGTTTCTCACCGGATCTTCTCAGTGGAACACGTTTCCGATCCGGTGGTAGATTCTGCGAGGCACTGCTCTTGCTAGAGCCAATGTTAGCAACACTCCCGGTCTGAGCCCTGTGAGCTCACCTACACGTCAAGGCGAAGCTGAAGTAGCCTCTCAAGGCTATCAGCATAGTTAGTAAAAAAAAACCACGAACTTTGACTCAAAGGAACAACTTCGACTTCAAGTTAGATATTCACGTTGTGAAGTCTCTAAGTTTTGGTAACCAATGAACACTGGGCTGGTTTTGCGCCTGTTAATAAAACTAGTGCAATTAAAACACCAAATCCATAACCACACATAATTTCAACAGACATGAGAATAAAACGTTTAATATTGAGCTATAATAAAAATTACATAACAAAACACAGTAATAAAGTTACTATCGCTTCCTTATTAAAACAATGAGCTATGAATAAAATAGAATTTCCTTGTCGTAAATTGTTGATTGTTGTATAATTTAATTGTTTTTCGGTTCACAGGTCAACGGAAATATGGAGAAGAATGTCGTTAAATGAAAAAATAATTTATTTATTTAGGTTTATGAGTGCTATTAAAAATAGCGGTTATGCTATTTTTATTTTATATTAATATTTTTACGGTGAACAATTTTTTTATTTTTTATTGTTTAGATGGGTATATGAGCTCATAGCTCACCTGGTGTTAAATGGTTATTAGAGCCCATAGACATCTACAACGTGATCCACCCACCTTGAGATATGAGTTCTAAGGTCTCAGTACTTAGTAATTACGCAAATTATAATTTTGCGGGTTCGATTTTTATTACACTATGTTATTATTTCTTTCACCGTGGAAGTAAATCCTGAAGATTTCTTAAGTACGTATTTAAATTTAAATTGTATACAACACGTTTTCGCAAAGTTATAGCATTTTAATCTACCCTAGTGCTGGTGGGTCGCGAAAGAGCTGCCACGCGCTGGTGGAAGTATAGTTAGGGGTAAATTTTGACCCGCCCCGCACACCAAATGAAGGCTTATGATTTTACTTGTCGTAACCAAAGTGAGTGTTTTCTTGGGTTTTATCGAGTCGAAGAAACACAATTAAAACCACTTTTTTCCGTCATTAAAACGTTTAGAATACTTTCTTGGTTTTATTTTGTAAAGTATTTCGTTTTCACAATGAAAAATTATGAACTGAAATTATGAACATTGCCGTTTACCAGGAGGCGGAGCTCAATGCTGACGCTGTTCAGTTCTAAAGAATGTCGGCAAATTTGAAGGATAAACGAATTGTATGAAATCACACCCAGAAGCCGCATAACCTTCCGTATTTCAAAGGAAAAAAATAAATAATAGTTTAAAATAACTAACAAAAAACGCTTTTATAGAAAATCCACGCTTTTTTACAATAAAATCATTTTTTCTTACACTATTTTTAATTCAAATTTATTAACATTAATTTTCTTTTTTTTTATATTGAGTTTTCATCGGTCCTTAATAATTATACCAAATTTCAAGTTAATCCGAAGTTCTGAAGGGGGTCAAAATCATATTCAAAGATTCCGTTACATACTAACATACTTAATATGTCTGAAGCTAATAAAAGCGTATTAAAACGTGTTTAACTAATAATATACATATAACAATAAAACGCAATTCAGTTTTACAAATCCAGGTCCCAAAAATTCACAACACATGCGACCAGTGCTGGGCTAGCACGTAATAAATGTCGATACATTACATTATCGATACGCGGTAAAGCCGCTCCACGTTTTTCTGCTCTTATGAAAACTGTGTTCTGTGTTTTTATTTTTTCCTTCTTTTTGCCGTCGATAGTTCCCGTGAAAATAGGTGAAAACGACACCAGCCGCGCTTTGTGTCGTGGGAAAGCCGTCGCTGTATGTTCGCACGGGGCGCTAGTGCTGTGACATCGTTTATCGACATCGATGCTTTTATTTCACGTGCAAAATAATNGCAGCAGCCCGGCGTCACCTGCGATAACGCGGCCGCGCGTTGGCTCCTGATTGGCGCGCGCACGCATCACGCAATCAGGAGCCAATCAGGCGCATAACGCATTTCGTGTGACATGCTAGTACGATTTTGGTCCCCATAATTTTCATACCCCGGGCCTATATATGTAAATCGATTCTAAAGGAGTAAACTCCAATAATAAAAAAGGAGTTAGATGCCGGGGCAGGTAAATACTATCCATTGTTTCATGAAAGACTTCAGCCATGAATAAACTTTTTTTTTATTCGAGATGTTTATTTGCAATAAAATATCGCACAAAAATAAATTCGTATCTATTTCCTCATAGCTCTGCGGCGAACGGTCACCTGCCGTGTCGGTCCGATGTTTGCCAATATTTCGGTACACGGCCACAGATTGCATTATTGGATATTTTAATCGAATACATTTAATTTTAAATATTGATGCTGAATCGAACAGTAATACAATTATGGATCGTAATTTTTAACAGGCTTTTATTATCTTGGTTTGTATGTATGTACGTTTGTTAGTTCGTAGAATTCAAATTCAAATTCAAAATCATTTATTACAACTTGGATGTCATCATAACACACTTGTTGAATGTCAAAATATAAATGAAAATGTTAACTCTACCACCGGTTCCAAAAAAAGCCACAGTCCTGAGAAGAACCGGCGAAACAAACTCAGCGGGCATTTTTTTTTCTCAATTTTTTTTTTTTAAATAAGTAAAAATATTTACAGTATACGAAAAAACAAGTCAAAAAATACAATTCAAATAAATAATAATAATAATGAAAAATGAAAAGGCCAGGAGTGAACGCCTCATTCCCACGTAGTGCCATCTAGTAAGTAAACCTTTACTTTATAAATATGTCTTGTGGCACAAACGTTCCTTGACAGTTTTTTTAAATCTATGAACAGGTAGAGAAACGTAACATGAAAAACTGTATACACATCAAGCACCGATGACAGTAGATTAATTTTGTAACTTCGCCCTGACAACCCGACTAGAATCAACAGGATAAAAAGATAAAACTAACTCTTAGTTTGGTTTGGTATTTTAGTCTTTTTTTTTCAATTGCTTAACTATATTATTTAGAAATATGTTTGTTGTTGTTCGGTATTGATAAAAAAAAACAATTTGGTATGTTGTCATCACGTAGATAAGACTTCAGAATGAAAAAAAAGTTCACATAATTCTGATGTTTCATTAATAAATCATCGTCACACGATCATACGATCTCAGGAGATATCGAGAAGGCCTCAATCTTACTGTGGAGAATTAGATTGGAGCTAATAGGACTTCGAAAACATCAGCTATAACTGCGTGCATTTCCCGGTGAAAATATAATTTTACATACTTTTTTATTTTTATTTGTGCGTCGGGTGTATGATCTTTTGGTCTTCCTGGCGTTACATGATTTCTAAAGAATATTAACAATGTAAATGCCGTCACCCAACTCGAGATATCAGGTCTTAATGTCAGCTCTAACTACACTTGTAACTATACTTGAGACCTTAGAACTTATATCTCAAGGTGAGTGGCGCATTTACTTCGTAGATGTCTATGAGCTCCAGAAAACCACTTAACACCAGGTGGGCTGTGAACTCGTCCACCCATCTAAGCAATAAAAAAAAAGCTCTGCAACAGCTACCATTCTTCCAATCAGGAACTGCCCCGCGATAAAAGCGACAGAAATAGGGACAAGTCGTCCTAACACGAGTAGAACTGGTGGTACTGGTGGTAGGACCTCTTGTGAGTCCGCACGGGTGGGTACCACCGCCCCGCGTATTTCGCCATGAAGCAGTAATGCGTTTCGGTTTGAAGGGTGGGGCAGCCGTTGTAACTATACTTGAGACCTTAGAACTTATATCTCAAGGTGAGTGGCGCATTTACTTCGTAGATGTCTATGGGCTCCAGTAACCACTTAACACCAGGTGGGTTATAAGCTCGTCCACCCATCTAAGCAATAAAAAAAAAAGCTCTGCAACAGCATTCTTCTAATCGGGAACTGCCCCGCGATAAAAGCGACAGAAATAGGGACAAGTCGTCCTAACACGAGTAGAACTGGTCATATCAAGAGCCTTACCTTTCAACAGGAGCACGTAGTTTTTCTTGTCGTCTCCACCCTTGGGGTATTCCCAGTCGATGTCGAGCCCGTCAAAGTTCCTGTCCCTCAAGTAAGGAATCGCGGAGTAGATGAACGTCTGCCGGGCGTATCTGGTAGCCACCATGTCCTTGAACTTCTGAGTCCCGAAAGACCAACCGCCTGTTGAAAAACAGAAGGTTACAGGAAAGAGAAAACTTTACGTAGAGTACAAGAATAAGGTAACCATAATAGTTAGGTATTAGCTGCGTAACGATATTTTTTAAATATAATTTTCAGCCACCTCGATGCTTTTGAATAGCTTGAATGAATTTAGCCTCGTACCAAGGATCGAGTGATCGATCGTAATAAAGTATTTTCAGGTTTGTGTTTGATCTACTAAAGGAAAAGACATCCAGTACTGGTACTGATATAAACTCATGTTTTGTATGTACTATTGAATGTTTCAATCTGGTGATTGTAATTTTCTTGAAAAACTACTTCCGCCATTTTCATTTTTCGTGAACTGTTAATTTTTGTCACAACACAATATGCTTGTAGAAACGGTAGGATGAAAATGTATTTTTTAAAGCTTAGATACAAGGAAATAATAAACATTATCGTAATAAAAAATTCCACAAATTAAGTTTTGTTAATTTTCTTTAATTTTTATTTATTACATTTCATGTACACATTTATCTACATTGGCGGACTTAATGTCTAAGGAATTCTCTACCAGTCTACCAAAGGTAGTGCACTTTGCAATGAACATGTTAGAAGAGAAGTTTAATAATTTGGGTGATTATCAGCTGCGGTATGTACTATAAGCCCTCATGTGTGGGTACCACCACCCTTCCTATTTCTGCCGCGCTAATAAACTTCAGTAAGCAGTCACGAACTATTGACCCATAGACACAGCCCACTGAGTTTCTCACCGGATCTTCTCAGTGGATCACGAAGCACAGCCAGTGTTAGCCACACTCTCGGTTTGAGCCCCGTCAGCTCACCTACACTTCAAGGCGAAGCTGAAATAGCCTCTCAAGGTTTTTTTTTCAAAGCTATCAGCATAGTTAGTAAAAAAAACCACGAACTTTGACTCGAAGGAACAACTTCGACTTCAAGTTAGATGGCGATAATCACGTTGTGAAGTCCCTAAGTTCTAAGCTTTGGTACCCAATTTAACACTAGGCTGGATTTGCGTCTGTTACAAAACTAGTGCAATTAAAACACTAAATCCATAACCACACATAATTATTATTTTTATTGCTTAGATGGGTGGACGAGCTCACAGCCCACCTGGTGTTAAGTGGTTAGTGGAGCCCATATACATCTACAACGTAAATGCGCCACACACCTTGAGATATAGTTCTAAGGTCTCAGTATCTAATAGTCACAACGGCTGCCCCACCCTTCAAACCGAAACGCATTACTGCTTCACGGCAGAAATAGGCGGGGTGGTGGTACCTACCCGTGCGGACTCACAAGAGGTCCTACCACCAGTAATTACGCAAATTATAATTTTGCGGGTTTGATTTTTATTGCACGATGTTATTATTCCTTCACCGTGGAAGTCAATCGTGAACATTTGTTGAGTACGTATTTCATTAGAAAAATTGGTACCCGCCAGCGAGATTCGAACACCAGTGCATCGTTCGATACGAATGCTCCGGACGTTTTATCCTTTAGGCCACGACGACTTCAATTTCAACAGACATAAGAATAAAACGTTTAATATTGAGCTATAATAAAAATTACGTAACAAAACACAGTAATAAAGTTACTATCGCTTCCTTATTAAAACAATGAGCTATGAATAAAATAGAATTTCCTTTTCGTAATAAAGATTGTTGTATAATTTAATTGTTTTTCGGTTCACAGGTCAACGGAAATATGGAGAAGAATGTCGTTAAATGAAAAAATTATTTATTTATTTAGGTTCATGAGTGCTATTAAAAAGAGCGGTTATGTTATTTTTATTTTATATTAATATTTTTACGGTAAACATTTTTTTAAATTTTTATTTATTGATAAGTTGGGATACGAGCTCACGGCCTGGTGTTAAGTGGTTATTGGAGCCCATAGACATCTACAACGTAAATGCCGCCACCCACCTTGAAATATAAGTTTTGAGATTTCAGTATAGTTACAATAGCTCTCCCATCCTTCAAACTGAAACGCATTACTGCTTCACGGCAGAAACAGGCGGGGTGGTGTTACTTACCCGTGTGGACTCACAAAAGGTCCTACCACCAGTAATTACGCAAATTATAGTTTTGCGGGTTCGATTTTTATTACACGATGCTTTGCCTTTCACCGTGGAAGTATATCGTGAAGATTTCTTAAGTAATTAAATTTTAATTATATAAAGAACGTTTTCGCAAAGTTATAGCATTTTAATCTACCCTAGTGCTGGTGGGTCGCGAAAGAGCTGCCACGCGCTGGTGGAAATATAGTAAGGGGTGCATGAGTTTACTTGTCGTAACCAAAGTGAGTGTTTTCTTGGGTTTTATCGAGTCGAAGAAACACAATTAAAACCACTTTTAAAGTTTAATTTTGCGTTTTTTTTCTGTCATTAAAACGTTTGGAATACTTTCCAGGTTTTATTTCGTAAAGGATTTCTTTTTTAAAATGAAAAATTATGAACCAAATAATATTTCCATAAATAATCAAACAATATAGGAGGCGGAGCTCAATACTGACGCTGTTCAGGTCTAAAGAATTTCACTAAATTTTAAGGGTAAACGAATTGTATGAAATCACACGGAGAAGCCGCATAACCTTCCGTATTTCAAAGGAAAAAAAATAAACAATAGTTTATAAAAACTAACAAAATACGCTTTTATAGAAAATCCAACTAAAAAATATAAAATAAATTTTAATAAATTTGAATTAAAAATAGAGTAAGAAAAAATTATTTTATTGTAAAAAAAAAACGTGGCTTACTTTTCAGGATATTATCAAAATAACACTTCTACTCACAAAATATGATATACAATTTTTAGTTGAATTTCAATTGTTTCAATTTTTTTTTTTTTTATATTGAATTGTCATCGATTCTTAATAAGTATACCAAATTTCGAGTTAATCCGACGTTTTGAAGGGGGTCAAAATCATGTGCAAAGATTCCGTTACATACTAACATACGTCTGAAGCTAATAAAAGCGTATTAAAGACGTCGTGTTTAACTAACAATATACATATAACAATAAAACGCAATTCAGTTTTACAAATCCAGGTCTCAAAAATTCACAACACATGCGACCAGTGCTGGGCTAGCACGTAATAAATGTCGATACATTACATTATCGATACGCGGTAAGGCCGCTCCACGTTTTTCTGCTCTTATGAAAACTGTGTTCTGTGTTTTTATTTTTTCCTTCTTTTTACCGTCGATAGTTCCCGTGAAAATAGGTGAAAACGACACCAGTCGCGCTTTGTGTCGTGGGAAAGCCGTCGCTGTATGTTCGCACGGGACGCTAGTGCTGTGACATCGTTTATCGACATCAATGCTTTTATTTCACGTGCAAAATAATTTTATCGCAATTCTACGGTTGCATTTGTTTTGTTTGAAAGTACCCGCTCCATTAACGAGCCAGTGCTAATCACATATGGTTGAAGCTTTTACTTTTGTCGCCAACCGATAATTATCGTTGCGAAACCTTCAATATAGTTATGTCACGTTCTTAACGGCTTATCCATAACTAGAAAGTCGTTCGCATATCGTGGACATGGCTTGCACGTGTTTTGTTTGCATTTACGTGTACCATGGTATGTCAAGTGAAGGCAATCGTTGGGATCTGATCCAGAGGTATTCTAGAAATTAATACCAAAGTTTTGTTTGTCACCCTGGTTTCATATAGAGCGGTTTTAGGGGCCTACGTTTAAAGTTTTAGGTATTACGTTTAAATAGTGATGATGTCCGGTTTATGTATATGAGATTTAAGAGGTAAAGCATTGTGTGTTTTGGGATGGCTGTGTACCAAGTAAATTTCATAAGTATTATATAAAGTTCTAAAACTTCTAAAAAAAACTTCAAAAAATTATGACTGATTGATAGAAAATTTCGTATTTTGACTGCTAAATTATGTAATTTATATATTACCTATAAAGATAAATATAGCTTCTTAATTTCCTCCGTTACAAATTACTAAGCTGAGTCAATAGTTCCACAAAACATACTCGGGTTAATAAAACCTTTTTTTTTATATCCACAAAAGATCTAATTTTTATTTTGGACACACCATTTTTTTATTTTTTTTTATTTCTTAGATGGGTGGACGAGCTCACAGCCCACCTGGTGTTAAGTGGTTACTGGAGCCCATAGACATCCACAACGTAAATGCGCCAGCCACCTTTGAGATATAAGTTCTAAGGTCTCAGTATAGTTATGTTGCTAATGTTAATTTTAAATGCCCAGCGAAACGGGCGAGTACGGCTAGTCTTTTATACGTACATTGTGAATAGTTCCTACAGAAACAGCATTAAGTAATTACGCATGTACAATATTAAAAGGAGTTTAACGCCCACCCATCTAAGCAATAAAAAAAAATAGTATTAGGGAGGCCAACACTCATATAACTATTAGCCTATCCATTAAGTACATGTATTTTCTACATGGATACCAAGTTTCAAGTCAAACGGATGCATGATTCAGTAGTTATAACGGAACATCCGTAAAAACCACTGTAACAGTAGACATATTATATTAGTATAGATTATGAACCATTAAATATGTAATTTTAATGTCACAATACACATTACGTCATCTACGACACATTGACATTTTTGAACGTAATTTTTTACAACTACATAATGTTTTTTGTTGGTTTTTTGCTAAACATGTATGTAATTCTTAGAAAGTCAGCAATGACATTATTTTATGCGACAATTAAATTTCACGACAATTCTGAAGTAATTGAACATTATTGTTGTGACGATATTAAAATTTAACTACGCGCGTTGTAAAAATGGCAATTCGTGTTTTGTAAATTGGCTATTAATTCAACCTATAAAGGTTATGTTATCTAATTGAGAAAGGCGAAGCCAAGGTGTTTCCAGAATGTCCTAACACCAGTGCTTTAGATAAGAACACTGAAGAGTTGAATCACTAGGAGACAAGGGTCATGTACCTCATCAATAGAGAAGAAGATTATTACGATGGAAGTTTCTCTGATGCGTTTTATTTATGGTCTGGAGGTAAAAACCACCAGATGGAGTATAAAATACCTCAACTCTAAATAAATCTAGGTTGGAGAAAGTATCAAAATTTTATAAATACCGTCTTAATTTGAAATGAGAACCAAAATATATAAATCTTTATCGATATAATTAAGAATTATCGATAATTGCTACATCCTTAGTCCATTGAGTTTAACTTTGCGGTACGTTACGCCTACCGCTGCCGCCTTGTAGGCTAAATAGACCATACATTCTACACAAAGGAGAAAGGGTTTTTGCTAGCGAAACTTCTATATTCAGTTACATTGAATTGTTCGAGTGAATTCAGGTTATTGTATACTTCGTAATATGGTAGAAGCAAATAGGCGCTTTAACTCGTGTGAGCTAGTGCCTGGTGAGAAATGAGCATGCGAAACTGGTGGAAAGTGATTAGTGTTGTTCAGGGGAATGGGCAATGCCAGAAGCACAAATTTCTGTAAGATTTATTCGAGAAGGTGGTAGAAAAACGATAAAATAAAGGAAAATTGGAATAGTTTCGTAGATTTTTAGCCAGCATTAGTTTTATTTAACTCCCATTATCGTGGTATGACGTATTTATTCCTAATGGCTTCCTGGCGTTAAGATAAACTAATATTTATTTTATGATTGCTGTGGATGTTTACGCAGTCTTTGAGTGAATTGCGTGTACTTAGGCCATTTAAAATATTTATAACGCTGGTTCATGTGATACTTTGAATAAATACTTTTTACAAAAGGACTCCATAGCCCTATTAAGAAATCTCTATGAGACAGATGCTGAAAATATATCCTTTCAGACAAAAATAAATCGGCTTACAAATGACGGAATTATGAGAGACCAAGTCAACCTCCAACCGCATTTAGAAAATCCTCCTTTTATGAAGTCAGCGGCAGTACCTACTTTCTAATCTATTTCTGAGTACCCAAAAACAAAACAAAAACGTACCAATTGCCAATAGAGTCTTTAGTTTAGGATTCCCTTTCTTCAGCCCATTAATCTTGTCGTACAGTCCGGTCTTCCCGTCTTTCGTCTCGTCGTTCGATTCGAAGCTGCTCAGTTTTCCTTTCTTCAGCCAGCCGAAAGCGAAGATGATGTGGGTGCAGAGATCGGGCTGAATGTCCTCGGGAACGAACTTCCCGACCTTCGTGCGGTATTGGGACCAGTTGGTGTAATAGCAGACGATCTGGGAAACGAAATATCATGATAAAATTGTACATGTAACTATACCTGAGACCTTAGAACTTATGCCTCAAGGTGGGTGGCGCATTTACGTTGTAGATGTCTATGGGTTCCAGTAACCAGTTAAAACCAGGTGGTCTGTGAGCTCGTCCACCCATCTATGCAATAAATAAATTAAAAAACATACTGAAAAGGTGGAGAGTCATCAGAATCAGGATCTTACATTTCACAATTCAGAGATAGCCTATGTGTGGAGGGTTAGGTGGAAATGTTAATGAGTTTGGGGTTAGTAAGACCATTTGTTTTAGAAGCGTTCATACCTTATTTATAATAATATATAAAAGTGATCTTGCCACTTCAAAGGTAATTTAACGGCCGTCTGGTGTAGTGGTAAGTGACATGGTCACTACACAAGCGGGTCGCGGGTTCGAATCCCGCCAAGGGAGGATATTGGTATGATAAATATAAAATGTCTTTTCCAGGGTTATGGATGTATATTAAATATATGTATAATAAAAATCTAACATTTATTTCCGTTATCTGGTACCTGTAACACAAGTTCTTTACGAACTTAGCACGGGACAAGTTGACATACGGTGATTGTTTTAAAAAAAAAAAAAAATTGTATATGTAGTAGTCATGATTAGTATCTACTAGATATACTAGATACACTAGATATACTAGATACTATCTAGTATCATTAGCATCGATATTATACATCAGGTAGCCTGTTTGACGTTTTCGATCCCAAGGAAAGAGAAGGATTATGTCCTGCTACATTAGAATTTATGAGACCATTACTAGTGCTGCTAAATTTGGTTAAACCATCAACTCAAATGTTTCTAATGCGTTGAATTTTGACCTCTATACATCAATAGTTTCAAGGTACATTAATGCTTAAAAAGGGATTCCGCAAACACTCGCTTTGAAGGCCGTCAACTCGACATTCGAAAATCTCAATCACATCCGCATAGCGTTTTGCATCTACCAACTAAACCACATTTTTAATATCAACGCAAAAAATCTTATTGCCTCGATATAGAGTCCAATTTCTCGTAGAATATATATTTTCATGCATTACATGTATTTTATTACAACAGTGCTAAGTACTTAGAAGGCTGTCTTTCCTAGTACCGACGGGAAGTTGCGGCCTTTCTAAAACCGGTGAAGGCAAAAATCTAGTTTCTTGTAATTAAATAATTAGATCGTGTGAAGAAAAACTTGATACATAATAGAACTTTATAAGACCTAGTGCGTTCCTTATTACAACTACACATTAAGTATTTTATTGTTTATAACTATTACCTAGCTGTAAGTATGGCTAGGTGTTATGTAAGATTGCAGAAATGGTCTCGCAAAAATGCTCTTGCTTTTTTTTTCATGTTCGATAGAGTGATGTGACTATGCCAGAATTCAAAACTCCTAACTTTTTAAAATATATATCCAGACTGGGCGGCAGGTCCTTCTGAATATTAAGGTTGTCGCATAATAAAGATCCGAATTGCAGAATTTATTACTTTGTGATAAGCCGTAACCGTTGCTAAGGTATATTGTAGAGGTAGGTAAATTCTGTATAATTCTGCCTTCATGCCTCATATATGCCAAGTATTCCGGATTGAAGATAAGGATATCTAGCATTGACCATGTCCAATGTAATTGAAATCCTGGGACATGCATTTTATTCAATAATAGATGATGGCAGTGGCGAGTATATGGGCTCTTCAAAATACTGTCTACATTTATTTTACTTGCATATCTAGCTCGACTTATATGTTGTTATTTGAACAATAATCAGATACACTACAAAATGTTAGAGCACTTGTTACACCAAAATCTTGGAGAGAGAAAAATAGTGTGAACATATCTTTTAAATCAACTAACCTTGTATCCATCCTTATCTTTGTGATGTTCGGTGGTGACGGAGTTGTCCAAAGCCGCGGATGATTTTCTGCTGGCTATTGTAGGACGACCACGAATCTTTGGTCTGTTCACGCTAGCTGAGAGAACTTGATCTGTGGATCTAGAGACGCTGGACGAAACCGATGTGGACACCTTTGATGGCTTCCGGAGTCTTCTGCGGACAGCTGTAACAAATAGAGCTGTTAATTCAATTGATTAAGTACACGATTTTAAAGTCTAAGCAAATGATTTGCGATAGAAATATGCAGAATGGTGGTTCCTATCCGTGCGTGCCCACAATACATCCTACCAGTAGCAGCTAATAATGCCACTGTGTACCATACTAGCTTAATTTGAATTAATTACTTGTTGCTTACGTGTTTTGCTCTTTCTTAATCGTAAAAATCGAAAAAAAAATGTTAGGATATCTGATCAAAGATTATAGTGTACCATATCTTAAACACTTTATTGTATGTACATCAGGGTGTGCAATAGGCCACAAACGGATCTATGTGTGTGCATGCGCTCGAGTTATCTACGGAAAATCTTGGGTTTTTATACTCCGTGAAATTTACAACACACCCAAAAAAGGACATGACACAGCGGAAGATTTGGTCCTAGCGACCCTTCGATGTTTCCACTTGGGTTGCCATCAAAGAAAAAGGTGTATAGTTTTCACCTCAAGGAATATTCACAGTTCGCTTAATTTACGTGTTTACATTTAACACTATTTATTAAAATATATTTTCCATAGGGTTGTAATCATAGCAGCAATAATCTCCCCAACGAAACTGCGCAAAGGTCATTACTGTGTTCCCAGATTCTCTGACAAAGTCAAATGTTACGTCTTGCGTGTTTTAGTGTTGACCGCGGGAACCCCCCTACTCTGTGTAGGTTCTGATCCCGGGCCGAGATCGGAGGTCGGGAGAGGAGAGAGGTGCAAGGGGAGTTGTTTGGTAGGTAGGGCCCTAAAACATCCTTGGGCCCGCGGTCTGCTCTCAACATCTGCAGATCGTCAAGTCCCACATAACCCACACGTCCCCTGGGCGCGGAAACCTCGTAGGAGGTCCGGCCCCCGGACCGAAAAAGAAACTTCTAAAAAAACCTATAAACTTTTTATGTTAACAAAATTTGTTCTAAAATAAATCATTATTTGTGAAGGTGTTTTTATAAAGATGATATTAATCCCAATCAAAATAAATACGTTATTCGTTACAAGTGTACTTTATATTTAACTAGCGACCCGCCCTCGCTTCGCTTCGGAAACATTAAAACACACATGAAACCAAAAAAATATAATAATAAAAAAATAAAAAAAAGTAGCCTATGTTCATCAGGGACAATGTCGGCTTCTAATGGAAAAAGAATTTTTCAAATCGGTCCAGTAGTTTCGGAGCCTATTCGAAACAAACAAACAAACAAATCTTTCCTCTTTATAATATTAGTATAGATTTTAAATAAATTAGCCATTTATATCATTTGATTTTAATCTAGACTAATATTATAAAGCTGAAGTTAAGTTCACTTGTAATAAATGCTGGATTTGCCGCATATTTCACGACTTCACTTCCAAATCTTAACACGTATTTTATCTGCAAAGTAATGTGTTTAACTTTAAACGATAATTGTTTTAGATCTATCAAGGAGTTAGCGTGTCCGTTTTTTCATGATGCAAATAAATCTAAAAGCAAGTAAGTACATGGATATCCCATTAAATAATAAAATTTAATAAAAAATTGCACAATTTGGTACACAAAGTAATAATTGATCCGTTTGAAATGTACAGCCGTTGTATTAATGTAATTAATTGATCTTTGTGTCTTAGATTTTAAGGTGGATTGTGGCATTTCAGTTTTATTCTCTGTAGTGAACTGTAACTAGTTTGCTCGTTTTCATCTAGTATTATTATTATTAAGCTATTGCATAGCTTTTCTATGAGCGTGGCGACCGAATCAAGAAATTTCGTAACGAAAATAAAACCTAAAACCCCCCCCACTCCACCTACCATATAGCTCGCGTTCAACACATTCACACGTTGCTCTTGTGTAGTGCTTGTGAATAAGCGCGTGGCGTGACGTCACACTGCATACACATCATCTGCCCATCTCTCTCTCGCGCGGTCTAGCTTATGAGTGTGAAGGGGGCAGTTAATGTTTTGCTTTTGTTAATGTTTATAAATATAGCGTGGTCTTATTTTATTATTGTTTTAATATTAAATTATTATTGTCTAATTGTAATTGCATAAGTTGATAAAAAATGCTATGCAATAGCTTTACCAATACCGCGGCAGTCCCCGAGTGTCATTATTTTTTTTTTAAAATAATACTACTTAATATTCAATACTTCAAACAATAAAACTTACTTACTTACTTACTTAAGCGTCCACAGAGCGCTATCTATGTTTGTGCGAACGTTGACATAAGCTCATTTTTTTTACTTAAACAAATTGCTGGATTATCTGGTATGTGAGATGTCCGCCCAGCACGTCCGCACACTTGACGGCACGATAATTGACGGTACGAATTTCGTTTGTAAATTTTTGGTATGCACTGAATAATAAGTACCTACGCATCGTGACTCTTTTATTTTCGTAATTTTTTATTTATTTTTTATTAATTGGATAAATGGGTGAACGATTTCACGGCATATCTGGTATTAAGTGGTAACTGAAGCCCATAAACATCTACAACGTAAATGCCGCCACCTACCCAACTGCTTACTTACAACGGCTGCCCCACCCTTATAAACGAAACGCATTACTGCTTCACGGCAAAATAGGCAGGGTCGTGGCACCAACCCATGCGGACTCACAAAAGGTCCTACCATCAGTAAAAAGATATTTTTTAGTTTCGGAAACATCATTTTCACCCGCCATGTGGTAAGGGCGGTTGTGGAAGAGAATAACCTCACCCAGAAGGATGCTGAAAACCGGGCAAAGAGGTGTTTATGTAGGAAAGCGGACCCTGACATTGGACCGGGAAAACGCTAAGAAGAAGAAGATCATTTTCAACCGTCTCTCTAAGGAAGAGACCACAATGTATTTGACAGATGCCTGAATCTCGCTTACGACATTTTTGAGATAAACTCGCATATATGAGGCCGTCAGCGTAATAGTGGCCTAACCCACAATTTTTCATAATCATGTTTATAATTATGTATACTGCAATTTATTTAAAATATAATAAATTTTGCTACAAAACCGGCCTATCCATAGTTTCACCCATAGATAACAGATGGCTTTGTAAACATTAGTTTTGCGCGTATTGTTTTTTTGCCTACTCAAATTCTAAAACATCTTACCACCGTTAATTTTATTAGTTGTTACTAGTATATTTTGTAGTTATTTCTTCATTGCATATACCTTATCTGTTCACCCAGACAAACTACAGAGGAGACACACAAAAATAAATACCGTCAAATTGAAAAACTCCTACTTTTTGAAGTCTGTTAAAAATAAATGTTACTCACTTGTTGAGTCTGACGTGGGAGCGATGACAGCTATGACCAGAACCACGGTGAGCATCCATCGAAGCAATATCGGTGGCCGCTGTAACAAATAAATATTCTAATGAGTCATTGTAAACTTAAATATAATAAGACCTAAAAATGTAAAGTCATATATTCCTTTTTAGAAAATACCCATTTTAGTGGGTAGCTTTTTATCTGTGTTTTTTGGAGTGTTGACTTTGACAATTTTAGATCAATTAAATCTTACGTCAAATTTATCGACATCTTTATTATATTTTAAATCACGGAACTGCAACCATGAATTTTTTTCTTGAGCTTGAAGTCACTCAGCAATTCATCCATGCTACTTAGAAAGAGTACTTCTTCACAGTAAATTTCTTATTTTTTCACGTACATATGCTCCGGCCTTGGCATGAACATCCCTCCACGAGGTCTTTGAGCGCAATGGCCTGTCATTCTTCAGAAATGGCCATAAAAAGTTCTAATCGGTAGGACTCGTCTGAAATATGGCATTGCATGGCATTGCCGACCTCCGCCAGCATTAATAACATTCACCATCAGTTGAGCGTGAACTGACGGGAATGTTTCTACGTAGGAATAAAATAATTACTGTAAATGCCGCGACAAGTGTATTACTGAACGTAAAGTACTATTACGCCGGTAAGCGCTACGCCATCTATGATCGAATAGCAGAAACGAATTTTAAGGGAACTAGTCATATCGAGAACACTCGAGAAGTACAACGCCATCTCTTATCAAATAGAGCAAACACATATCGAAACTACTCGACCTGTCAGGAATATTATCGGTAATTCTAGGGTTGTCGTATCGAATATAAAAGCGTTGCAGAGATGACACGAAATCAGTTAGTAATCGGTTGTAATCGAAGCGAAACAGCGAACGGATCGCCTGAAGCGAAGCGGAAGAAGTGAATTACGAATTGTAAAGTGATCTGTAAATGTTCGAAGTGTTAAATAGAGTTTTAATTTGTATTTCGCTGGAAGATTTATTTATCCCGAACTCCAGCGCGTAACAGTACTTTACTCTTTTTTATCCTGTCTTTTTCTTATTATGGATATATGGATATCTTATTGTGGATATATATATGAATACGCCATCCATTCGTACAAACAAACAAAACTAATAAAAGCGTTATAAGAATATAAATAAAGTTATACCATTACTTTTACGTTTATAAATATAGCCGTTAATGACTTGCGTATTACAATTTTGCGACAAGCTCATCTTGTTTATAAAGGCTAATTCACACGGCCTCTGTATGGGACAGAAAATAAAATATGTAATTTTTATTTTAGAAGAATAAACGTCTGAGATTTTTGATCATCTTGCATAGTAAAAGTCTATGGAAACGCGACCAGTGTGCTTGGTGCGAGTTTTTTAACGTTCTAAATAGCGTAAAAGTTAGCTCAGATTTGTATGGAGTTCGAGTGTTTGCCTACGGTTTCCGCTAGGGGCGCTGTTCCAACTGCATACAAATTCGAGTTAACTTTTACTCTATCGAGAACGTTAAAATAACTCGCAGTGAGCACACAGCAGCCCTATAGGAACCCTGGGCTTTTAGTCAATTGGGAATTTGAGGTATATTCAAAGGATCTTGTACTGATGAAAATATCTAATGCTGATTATCAGGTTACGTGACCACTAGCTACTTCTAGCTACCGCTACTAAGTCCGTTTAAATCAAACTCAGTACCTAACAACATCGTCTCACATACTTTATTTTTCGGCTAATTTATAGTTTATTCGGTGTTAGGACGGTTGGTTGCTCTCTGTCTGCACATACCTTTATACAACGCGCTTCTATTTAAAGTTTGAAGGTAGGTGAGGTCTTCACTTAGTGGATTGCTTTTTTGAGAACTTTGAGCAAATTCGAGAAAACTGATTATAGAGGTTTTTATCATTAAAGCTTTACTGGTGGTAGGACCTCTTGTGAGTCCGCACGGGTAAATACCACCACCCTGCTTATTTCTGCCGTGAATCAGTAATGCGTTTCGGTTTGAAGGGTGGGAAAGCCGTTGTAACTATACCGAGACCTTAGAACTCATGTCTCAAGGTGGGTGGCGGCATTTACGTTGTAGATGTCTATGGGCTCCAGTAACCACTTAACACCAGGTGGGCTGTGAGCTCGTCCATTCATCTAAGCTATAAAAAAATGGTCCACTTGTCTAAAGTTCAGTAGGCTTGTAGTGTATTTACCCTGGCGGTGGGCTAAGAACCATCTAGACTTCTCTTTTACTTAGTGGTCGTAAGTTCAATTTGATTTAGTGGAAGAAAGAGAGGTATATAAATCTAACAGGTCCTGACAGCTTTGTCATTATATTTAGAACGCTCGCTATTAATGTGCTTAAGACTATAAAACTCAAATAAAATTTTAAATGTATTAACCAACATTATATTCATAGACCCGCAGCATCTCCAAAGACCTAGGTTTCAATTTCAATCTCTTTTCATTTGTTCAGTCACCAGGAAAAAAAAGAACCGAATTTTGATATTCCCTTTTCCACTCCAATCCGCATCCGTATATTGAAGGTGTTTATGTCTGTACCCTTATCTGTTCGATTACTGTGTCTGTAAACGACATGTGTATTTCATGAATAATGTAGGACGTCACGTGGCTAAGGAATTGAGAATTCGAGTGTAGTGTGCAGATATTGGATTGGACTTTGTATTAAAGTTTCTGATTCTAGTCTATTCTGGGGAAGTTTTGTTCCGAATGAATTGACATTTCTGAGTCCGCGCGGGTAGGTACCACCGCCCTGCCTATTTCTGCTGTAAAGCAGTAATGCGTTTCGATTTGAAGGGTGGGGCAGCCATAGTAACTATACTTGAGACCTTAGAACTAATATCTTAAGGTGGGTGGCATATTTACGTTGTAGATGTCTATGGGCTCCAGTAACCTCTTAACACCAGGTGGGCTGTGAGCTCGTCCACCCATCTAAGCTACAAATAAATAAAAAAACCGACCTCCCCGAACCCATTGCTTGCGACGAAGGGCTCGATGAGTAAATTAACCCACAGACACAGCCCACTGAGTTTCTCACCGGATCTTCTCAGTGGGTCGCGTTTTCGACCCAGTGGTAGATTCTGAGAAGTACTGCTCTTGCTAGGGCCAGTGTTAGCAACACTTCCGGTTGGAGCCCCGTGAGCTCACCTACACTACGTGAAGCTGAAATAGCCCCTCAAGGCTATCAGCATAGATAGGATAAAAATCACAATCGCAACAACGTGGCCTGAATTTGCTGGTTACTTTTATTGTATACACATTTTCAATCGAGATATATTTTTTAATTATTCCAGGTTCTTTTTTTCCAGAATCCGCCCAGCATCAGTTCGGGCGAGGATAATCATGATCCGAAAATTAAAACCGCCCAAGGCCCGTCCCTTGTTCTCGTTGAACAATATAAAAGTTCAACGACCTCTTTTTGTTGTTTCATTCAGTAAAAAAAGTCCTGTGGCTTCGCTCGTGTCTATTTTGAAATTTAACATTACTCGGTTTGGTATTTTTGTATATCATATGTTTTGAACGGAATATCTCAAAAATTAAAATTTCTATGTTCAGCTGTTTCGGTATCTGTCGGTCAGCTTAGGAGCATACTCACCGCTCTTTCGATATTAAGTACTCGCCGGAGCCCATAGATAGCTCGTTACAATAAAAACAGCATAGATTTCCCCAACTATCATACACTAGCTTTTGCCCGCGACTTAGTCCGCGTGGAATAGTTCCCAAATAAAGCTTTATTTCAGAACAAATTTGGTTAGCATAAAACACGTTATAGTGAGCCAACCTTTACGTATAGACATATGCTGTCGCGGACTTTTTTTTAGATCTTTTAAAGGGGAACAATTCTGTCATACATTATTTTAGCGAAATTTTAACCGTTTCTGCAGCGCATGCAGTGGATAAAAAAAAAGGGAAAAAAACCCCGATTTTGAAACACTCTTTATTGGTGCTCCGCTTTTATTGATTTTAGCCTGATGTTATATAATCTATAGCCTTTCTCAATAAATGGGCTATCTAACACAGAAAGAATTTTTCTAATCGGACCAGTAGTTCCTGAGATTAGCGCGTTCAAACGAACAAACTGTTCTGCTTTATAATGTTAGTATAGATAATATTAATTCAATATATTAAATTTCAGCTTCAATTGTCCCGTTCGCACAAACTCGAATTATTAACTTCATTAGCGTACTGCAGAGACGTAATTGTTAATTACGATAATTTTAATCACAATCGTACTGATTTCAATTGTAAATATTAGAAAGTTTTGCGTCATCCACCGTACTCACCAGACCTCACACTGACAGACTTCTACTTTTTCCAAAGTTTGAACAACTTTTTGAACAACAAGAAAAAAACTCAATAATTGGGAGCGGTACAAAATGCCTTTGAAGTGTTTTTTAAGCTATTGCATAGCTTTTATCGCGGGCCTTGAGTGCGGCGACCGAATCATGAAATTCCGTAACGAAAAAAACCTAACATCCCTCACTCCGCCTACCATGTAGCTCGCGTTGAACACATTCACACGTTGCGCTTGTGTAGTGTTTGTGAATAAGCGCCTGGCGTGACGTCACACTGCATGCGCATCATGAAAAGTCTGCCCATCTCTCTCTCGCGTGGTCTAGCTTATGAGTGTGAAGCTCCCCTTCATGAGTGTGAAGGGGACAGTTAAGGTTTTGCTTTTATTAATGTTTAATATAGCGTGGTCTTGTTTTATTATTGTTTTATTATTAAATTATCATTGTGTAATTATAATTGCATAAGTTGATAAAAAATGCTATGCAATAGCTTGCAGTTCCCGAGTGCCACACGTTTGTTTTATTGACTCCAGCACACCTCATTTTATTGAAAAATCACCACTGCCCTGGCAAGTTGCGCATCGGATACCACGGATTCATATTTGGATTTATATTAATAAAGAATAATTATAAAAAAAAGGCTTTAACTATCTGTAAACTAAACGGGAATTTCTTAGTTAAAGACCTATATTATAGTGGAACAAATTCAGAACGAATTCACACAGTCTGCGAACAATTAATATTGTGGTACGTTAATCTGTGG